AAGCTGTCCATCATTTCCTCTTGGGATCAAATAGGATCAAAGAATTTTTTAAAAGTCGATTAAAAGGGACATCTGCCAATCAGAGCCGGACTTAGACAAAAATCCAGATTCCAACTCCTGCCGCCCGCCTGCCCTGAGGCCTTCACAAAAGCCTCCTCTAGAGTAGTTTATTCTCACTCCATCAACGTGAGTCTTTACATGCGCACTGTCTACACACTAGACTATCATATAGATGAGGGTTTAGCCTGATATCTCCATGTTTATAGGATTTATAGGGCTGTTAATGATATTTATTTAGGCAATTTACAAAATTCAAACTGTATAATATATAAAGTAACATATAAACTGATTTTTACACATCATAGTACCCACAAGTGTTTCCCTTTATCCTACAGAAAAAGACATTTATAAATAGACAAAGTATTTACAGTTATTAGACTTTCTCTCATGGGTTTGCCATTTACGGAGCAGACGACTAAAAAACAACTAGTCACTAAAAGGCTGCTTTTTATCAACTAATTTACCTGAACAATTTCATTCCGTGATAACACCATTTGTCAAAGTTTTGAGCTTGTTCTACTCTTCCCAAGATGCCAACTAAGTCAGTTAATGCAGCTCAACAAAAGAAGTCATGGTAAACACACAGTAATCCAGCTACTGTATCCCTCTGTCCAAGTATCCTAGCTGCCTTAATTCAATCCAGGGGTTCCCAGGGGGGTCGCCGCTACAGCCAGGACAGTAAAAAGAAAAAATGAAAGCATAACCAACTTGAGGACTTCACATGCATTTTGTTTGAACCACGCAGCTCAGAGCAGCTCAGGGTACAAGCGGACAAGCGTATAAAAGAGGCAGAGAGAGAGGGAGAGAGAGATGGCGAGATGCGCAGCATCAGAAATACAGCAAACCTAACCCAGGGTTTTACAAAACCATCCAACCACAATGTTCTTATTATGTTATGGGGCTGGTTTCTCAGTAATAAGAACTTTAAAAAGGCATCATAGGTGCCACTCATTGAATGTATAATGTATTACTGAAAGTCAGCAGCACTAACTTTTGAGAGATAACAGTCTCCAAAATAATGTTGCTATAAACACAATGCCTGCCAGACGTCAGGGTTTCTAATCAACTTAATGAGAAAGTATTTTTAATGAATATCTGCATAGTTCCAAGAAATGACCACCTGCAGAGCAGTCTTTGACAGAGTATTTCATTTTTTTCTCATCTTATCTCATCTTCAAATGCTTGGTTGCAGGGGCAACAGTTCCAGCAGGGGACCCCAAAATTCTCTTTCCTGGGCCACAGCTCTGACTGGTGGATCCCAAGGCGTTCCCAGGCCAGTGTGGAGATATAATCTCCAAATTAAGTAATCACTTCCCATTCAAAGATCCTCAATGTTTTCTTTTATGTCGAGCAAAACAGAAGTACTCGCATCATAAGAAAGAACCTGTGGCCTGGAATCATTACTTCTCATTTTAAGGAAGATTATTGAGAAAGTGTAGAATGTCAGCACCTGCTGAGTGCCAGAGGTTTTTTGTCCAAGCCCTCTAGTTGTTGTGGTTATTTTTTTGATGAGGAAGTCAAGTGATGTTATTATTGTAACTATGTACCCTGTTAAGAGACAGCATGGGTCAACAAAACTGGAATCCAAGGGGCTATCATTATTTTCCTGTTTTTTTAAGCATGGCCAGTCTTTTATAGTCTTAACCACATATTGATTATGATTTAACCCAATCTAAGATGTTTTTCCAAACCTCAACCATAACATTAAATAAAAATGATTTAGTCTACAAGCAAATATGTACTCACCTAACTAACTAACTAACCTTTTAGATTAAGAATGTATTTGCCAAGAGTAACCTGGCCAAGACAGGCAGCAGCTTAAAAACAGATAGCTACTGACAGAAAAATAAAATAATAATGAACTAGAAAAAAGCACCGGGAATTCTCATTTCAAGAGAGAAATTTAAAATCAGTTTTGTAAGCAAGTACATTTATGAACACCTTCGGAAATATGTAAACATTAAAAGTATTTATTAGCCTGCAAAATAGTTGACAAGAACATTAAAGGTAGCCCATCACATACTTTTTATATTTAATGAATATTAAAATTAATAAGAATTATTATATATATAATATTGTTTGTTATAAAACTATAAAACCCGCTTATTCTAAAATGTTGACTGAAGCCTTTATCAGCAAATTAGGTTGGCTTGGTTGTCATGAAAGTCTGCAGGTCCATATTTATACTATTCAGAGAAGATTTAGGACCCGTTATCTAAGTTCTAGCTTGACAGTTCATTATTGATCAATCATTAATCTATTTCCTGAATTACATTCGTGCCAAAGTATTGTCAATGCATTCTACTCCCAAAACATAAAAAATGCAGTTCTCTGGTTTAGTTAGTTTTTTTGTCAGGGACTAACCACCCTTAGACAAACGTTTTTTTTTAAAATACGCAATGCATATAACGTAATAGCATTTATAGCATGCAGCGACGTTAGTCGGTCCAAACACTTAAACGTACATCACCAGGTAAGCTTTGGTTTATTTTTGGTACCCTGTATAAATTACTAAGATCACAAATGGAAATATTATTGGTATTATTATTATTTCAGGACAGCACTGTTACACACTGAAAAATAAAGAGGAACATTTTTGGCCCCTAATTGTGTCTCCATTGAGGCTCAAAATACTTTGACAGCCCTACGTTTTATTTGTAACTATTACAATCGATTTATTTACTAATTAATAAAAAAATTAACTAATTAATTTCACACTTTGAAATTCATTAATCCTGTTTAATGGCGATTAATGAATGTTGTTGTTGTTACAATGTTGTTTTTATTGTTTGTTTTTATTCTAAACTATATCTTAAAAGTAATCAGTTTAGAAAGTATTTTAGACACTGTTGTGTTGTGTTCTTTTAAACACAAAACTATACACATTTCAAAATCTTGGGGGCAGAATTCCAACGGGTGGAACATGTTGAACCAGTGACTCGTCCTGCTGTGCTCGTGCACTTTGCTCTCAACTATCCATCGTTTAACGGCTGCATTTGAAGTGCCAACAATCTCCCCAAATTTAGCCAGGATGTTTTCAAACCACGGTCTTTTAGAGACACAGTGGTGGTCCTCTGCAGACTATGTAATTTAATGTATTGTGCCGCGCAGGGTAATGTTAGATATTGAGATGGAAGTAGCCTAGCTGCTAGCTTAGCAAACGTACATCAACTGCGTTAAAATATTTTGTTGCATTAATCTCAGCCACATTGATTCAATTCAATTCATTTTATTTTGTATAGACCCAAATCGCAAATTACAAATTTGCCTCAGAGGGCTTTACAGTCTGTACACATACGACATCCTCTGTCCCGAAACCCTCCATCGGCACAGGAAAAACTCCCCAAAAAATGAAAAAACCCTTCCAAGAGGAAAAAAAGGGAAGAAACCTTAGGGAGAACGTCAGAGGAGGGATCCCACTCCCGGGATGGACAGACTGCAATGGATGCCATGTGTACAGAATGAACAATGTATAATACATGCAATTCCTATGACAGAAATCATTCAAGTAATTGTGAGTAGTAAGCCAGGCGCACAGCAGGACCACTGCAGGGGCAACCACCATCAGATAGAACCACCATCTACAGAAGCCTGTGGGGAGGGAGAGCACAGAGACTTAGGGTAATGTTGGTTTACGAGTACAGTAATATGATTAATATCTAAGACAATAATGATGATGATGATGATGGCAGCAGCAGGCGTCAGCTGGGCCACGGCAGGTGTCAGGACCAGCGTCCAGAAGGAACTACGATCTATGGAGACCTGCTAGGGGAGAAAGCACAAAAAAACTCCCGGAAAGAAGCTGAATTAGTCATGTGCATTAATAAAACGTGAATTATGGTAGAACGAGAGCGTGAGAGAGGAGCTTGGTGTGACCTAAGAAGTCCTCCGGCAGTCTAAGCTTATAGCAGCTTAACTAAGGGCTGGTCCGGGCTAACCTGAGCCAGCCCTAACTATAGGCAGAATCAAAGAGGAAAGTTTTACTTTAAAAGAGCTGACCGAATCTGCCCCCTGGACTGAAAGTGGAACCTGGTTCCACAAAAGAGGAGCTTGATAACTGAAGGCTCTGGCCCCCAGCCTACTTTTTAAAACCATAGGAACAACAATTAACCCAGCATCTATGGAGCGCAGCTGCCTTGTAGCTCTTTAAGATACGACGGTGCCTCACCAGCAAGTGCCTTGTAGGTGAGGAGAAGTACCTTAAAATCTATTCTTGATTTAACAGGGAGCCAGTGCAGAGAAGTTAATACAGGAGTGATATGATCCCTTTTTTTAGTTCTTGTTAATACACGTACTGCAGCATTCTGAATCAACTGGAGAGGCTTACAAGAGCAGCCCGATAACAAAGAATTACAGTAGTCCAGTCTGGAAGTGACAAACGCATGAACTCATTTTTCTGCATCATTGATCACATAGATTAACACGTTCATGTTGACAGCCCTAATAAAAAATAAAAACGGCATTAGGGGGAGCACTGGCCATTGCTAATGTAAAAGCAGAGGAGAGAATGCATACATCAAAACATTCGTTTTGAAATGTACAAAACATTCTTGCAATGCGTCATACACTATGCATAAAATGCCCTGCATGAGCAATAACAACCTTAAATTCATCTATGATACATTCTGACACACTGTTGACTGATTCCACGCCTCCTCACTACATTATACTACACAGCCTATGGACCTGCACCTCCCTCATCCTACTTCTTCCCCTGTTCCCATCCAGTAGTCTTTCCATTCCCAGCCTGCTACACTGTATATTTCAACATGTTTCCTTATGGCAGCTTTGAACTGCTGGTGGAGGGTGGTGATGGGGGAAGACTACATAATGAGGCTGCCCACAGAGAGAACAGTCTTGCTCATTTGTCCATAACATTTGGACTCAGGAAGCGGCCAGAAACCCATTCTGGTTTTCTTTTTTCTATTTCCTTCATGCAGAGGTCCTTCTGCAATGCCATGGTGGACGAACTGCGGGTGTCCCTCAAGTGCCAGCGCCGGTTCAAACACAAGCCTCAGCCACCTGTCATAGTAAAAACGGAGGAGGTCATCAACATGCACACCTTCAACGACCGCAGACTGCCAGGGAAAGAGACCATGGCCTAACACGGGAATCACAATCACTTTATCACCCTCTCTCCTGCAGAGAGGAAGCGTGCAGAGACACTGGGGAAAAGGGTGGGGGAAAATGGTAAAGGGGGGAAGTGGGTTGTAATGGTTGACAGTCGGGTTACTTCAAAAAAGGTAGCACAAAGGTGCTTGGGAGTATATTAACAAATGTCATTCTTGTTTCTGTATAATTAGCTCAGTTTAAGTGATTCAACAATATTTCCTGTGGAAATAACTTGAACCTGTGTGAAATTTCGGAGAGTTAACTCAGTATGTTCATATGTTCAACATGTTCATATCATGTTGGCAAGGCACCCAACAGCAGGAGCAAGATTTTGAAAACCCAGAAGTCAAAGAGAGAGGATTGGCAACATATTTAAGGTGTGAGACAGGAGGGCCAAAGAAACATGAAGAAATAAAAATCAGACCCATTATTTTTGAATGCTGGTTTGTCAGTTTAGCACTGAACAGCTAAAAACAGGATGTTCAAGCAGCGTTAACAGCATCTCAGAGATTATGAGTGAACATAGAGATACTTACTGGGGTACTGGGGAGATAGGAATAGCCTTTTTTCTAAAGCTGTGAATAAAGTGACCGCATAGGCTCTGAACCTTCTCGGATCAAACCCCTGAAGACAGACGGGAGCTGATGCTGTCAAAATGTACTGAAAGGACATTTATGATATTGATTGACATCAAAAACAAATATACTGTATATCATCCATCAGGCAATAAGTGATATAATTTATTTGTGTTTCAGAGTACTATCACTTTTAGTCTCTAATGTAGAAGGCGTAGGGATGGGGGTGGGGGGGTTTCTGTGGTGTAGAAAGCAGAAAACAGAGCAGGGCAATATAGTGAGCTGTTGCTCTATCAGCCTAAGAGTTATGACTCTTAATGTTAATAAGGAGGAACTTGGAATGCCGTGGGCACAACTCACTTAGTCTAAATTTATAGTAATCACACCACAACACGTAAACTATTTATTCAAAATGTTATTTTATTTATTAAACTATTTATTATAATGGACGGCCTGGATTTTTACTTCTGCCGTCAATACACCTCACTTTAAATCTGTATCGGTATACACATGGTTTCGTTTTTTGTGTCTAGTTTCATTTTGTACTCTGTGGCTTTTCTTTTCTTCATTGGAAGCAAACCTCAACATTTACTTGTGCAAAATGCAATTTCTATGAAAAAGTGTTTTTGTACGAAGAGAATCAATACTTTGTAATAATTTGTATCAACACGAAATGCACCATGACGACTGTCAACCACAGTAGAGAGGTGGTACTCCAGGCCCGTAGTTCTGGAGGCTTTCTGACACCAGAAAGATCCAACACACATACACACACACACATACACACACTCACATATGTACACACAATATTGCACAGTGCACCCATCCTCTGTGGATCAGATTCAGACTATTTAGTACTGTTATGGTACAATGAATAGAACATAGAACTCTGGTAAACATCAGTGACGTAAATAAGAGAGAGGAAGGGAACTAGAAAGTATTTTTTATCATGTAAAGGAATCATATTTAAAGAAAGATATTTTACTTGACATGAAAGAATAATAATTATACTGGTTAGAGCAGATCCGTAATGTACACACACAGGAAGAGAGGAAGACTGCTGATGATGCTTATCATTCTACCCCGATTACTGATTGACTGCTAGAGTCCAGTGCTGAGCAATTGTGTGTTAACGGTTTCAAAATGGGAAAAGATGTATTTAAAAAAATATATGCTTAACTAATTTTAAACTTGTTGTGAAACAAAATGGAGTGCACAGTTTACCCTTCAAAGTTGATGCACAAGTTTAAGGATAATAAAAAGGCGTTCGCAACTTTTACCTTGCTTGCCTAATTATTGTATGGATGTTGAAAATAAATTAGATGTAATAGCGTCAACAATTGAAACACAAAGCCCAGATGCCCTCGTTGGTCATTTAAATAATTTATTCATTTATTTTGCAGGGACAATGCACACTAATCAACGGGTGTACTGTAAGTGAGCCAGAGTTAGCCAGAGAGGCTAATTTCCATCTGCTGTTCCCGGACAGATGTTGTTAAGGCAGCCTAAAATAAAACAAAAATCTCGAAAGGAAATGTAATTCAAATATATAGACCAACGGGCTATGAATGGATTTTAAGCTTTTTCCCTACTTAAATAAGTCCAGGCTGAGTACAATTAAGAAGCGGTGGTCGCCAACTTGTCAATTACGATCTCCAAAATAAAATAAAAATAGATTCAGAAACACATTTGGAAGATATACGTCAGTAAAGATCTTGAACTGCAGATTTTTTTTTTTTTTTTTTCTTTTATTCCATAGTTGGCTTCCATAGTATTGGTCATGCAAAACCATGAACAGAGATGAAATCCAGCCAAGTTTCGCAAGCGAGCAAATTAGAAAATCTTGCGACTTTTGCTTACTATTTTATTTGTGCACGCGCATGGACCTCATTTGCGCTCTTGGATTTTGGTGTTGATTTGCCTTCATAGTTATTTATTTATTTACTTACATTTGTGGTGTTCATGTAGTGCTTTTGTTTTTTATGAAATCCCGATGCCTCATAGAATCATGATTATAAATGTGAAACGTAATTGTTAATGTTGTTCAGGCATGAAAATCCCTCACCTTTCGGCAAAATTTGCCGTTTTAAAACCAAAGTAGGTGACCTACGTGAATTGTGTAGATTCAATGAGGGTTTTTTTGGGCGGGGGGGTATTCATATTCAGTGAACTGCGAACAGGGTGAGTGATGGTTTCAATAATTTTAATATTTTCTGGTATATCTAAGTCAAGTTACCCAGGAGCTTTGTTGATATACACTTAGCTAACGTTAGCTACAGCTTGATGCATTGAGTCATTTAACACAGCAGGAGAGAACGCGATGTTGGCCAGCTAGCTAAAGCTCCAATAGCTAACGCTACAGTTTTTGAGGAGGTAGATTTTGAGGTGAGGGGACTGACAAGGCAGAAGGTAAAGTGGTCCACCGTTCTATCAATAAGCAGACCTGCCAACCTGATACGCATTTTGACTTCAAAGTACGCTGGTACGATTTGTCACTCTAAACTATGCAAAAATTTCTCTAAAATTAATTTTAGACTAGTTGACCAGCACACATTATATGCAATGCAATATAATGCATGACGACTATTTAATGACTTGTCCCCTATTAGTTGTCAATTCCCACCCCCCTCGTCGGTACGCAAAAAATGATCCCTGGGACAAAACCAGTTGAAAACCCCTAGAGGGGTAATATCCTTCTCACCTTTTTCACCCTTGATCAGTTTTCATGCCTGGTTGTATATTGAATATTTTTCGATTTATTATTCAAATTCATTAAAACTGAGGATGTCTGTAGAGTTGATGTTAACGCAACCACCAACGTTTCAAACCCATTCCTGTCTACTGCACACAGAAAAAAAATGTCATGGTCTGCGCTGTGCCCCTCCCACTGATTGACTGGCACAGCTGGAATTCATTCACTAATAAGGCTCCAGGCTTGCTATCCTCAGCACTCCACTCCTTCCTTGACAAACCCGGAACTAATGCTACGCCTAAAACGCTCAGCAACCTGTGGAAGAGTTCTTTACCGGACAAGCACTCGCCATGTGTCCTTCTCCACCACAACGGAAACACCTCCCATCATCCGATGTAGCGAACATCACATAAACAAACCCCTCGATCCTCAGTCTGAGAGCTTGGGCTTTGGAGAGGACCATGTGGTGCTTTCTCCTTAGGAGACACCTCAGCAGAGGAGACCTGCACCCTGAAGACACCTTCCTTATCTGGGACACCACCTTCCTGTGAGGTCCATCGTGCAGCACGCTGATCGACTGAAAACACGCACAAACTATCACAGAAAGAAACAAAAGTCACACATACACACCACCACATATTCACTCCACAACACAAACCAGACAGACACCGAAACCCTGACTGAACACAAGAGGTCCTCCAGGCCCCAAGAGTTTGGTGTTGGTCAGTTTGTAGTTGTTACGTTCTGACTCCCCAGGAGGGGAGTGGGATTCACGCCACTGCCCGAGGACGTCCTGTGACCAGTAAACGGGTATGGCGTCGTAGGTGCAAGAAAACAAACATCACCTGAAGTTGGGGTAAGCAGGCTTTTATTTAAGCGCAGTTAACAGGGGAAAAGAGGAGCCTGGCGGTACCAAAGCAAAGAAAAGAACAAAATGCCTCCCACCCGCTTACCTGTCCTATCTCCCAACGAAAACCACTAACTGGCACACTAACAAGGCGCCCTACCCAAACTTACAGTAGGTGGTCCAGCCAGGTGTAATTAGTGTTGTTAGACAGGAGAGTAACCCTACGTGCAGGTATGTAAACTCCTCATCCCCCTGTAAGAAAAAGAACAAAAGAAAAAAACAATTAATTGAATACACAGTACAGAAAATCACCAGAACTAATAACTACCCCACCATACACCAGCACTCACACACACACACACAACCAGTGACACCCACCCCAGGTGAAACAAACACAGGGGTACATATACTGACAGAAGGGCATGATGGGATTGGAGATGAGTGGAAACAGCTGAACCGGGTAACGAGAGTGGGTGGAGCCAAGATGAACGGAGATCATGGATGATCAGTACCACCTGTATGAACACACACACACACGAAACAGAACACATACCTATACACAGAACAGGGGACGTAACAGTAGTAGCCAAACTCCATCCTGAGCCGAGCAGCCAGCAGCTCTGTCAGACTCATGTCCTCCGACCCTCCACCATGCACATTCCTGAAAGGAAATTCAATAGTGTGTGAACATTTATCTTGCCAGCAGAGTATTTCAAGCAGTAGATAAATAGAGGTAAAGGGAAAGGTTCTCCTAAGCCCCGAAACCAGGCCTGCAAAAAGGTGATAGACGGTTTCTGGCAGTGAACTGAAAAAACAGCTGTTCCCCAAACCCGGGTCCAGGTGTACCAGATACTTGTTAGTAGCTATGGCTCCATGCACAACCCTCCGCTGGAGGACCCGGATGTGGGTCAGCTCCGCCAGGCGGGGGATGAAGATCTTCACCAGGTGACCCAGCTTCACACAGCCACACAGCGGATCTCAAGCTTACAAATGTCAGGACCTGGAACGTGATAAGGCTGCCCCCAAACAGCGGCTCCTCGAACAGCCACATCCCTGGTGTTGTCTCAGCACTCTGCTTGTGGGTGAGAACCTGTCACACCTGGAGGACAGACTAGTACTGACGCTGTCAGTCCAGTTAAATCCACTGACTGGGTCTCAAGGAAGAAAACATGTTCATCGTACCCCATGCGTCCAGCCCTCCTCAGCAGCACACAGGCAGTATCGGTCCATGGCCGAAACTATAGAGCAGTCTGAAAGCTGCTACTCGTGAGGCGATGTCCACCAGGCCCTGACCCCACTCCTGGATCGGTGGGTACAGCACAGCAGATGTTAACCAGTGGATGGTCTCTATGTAGAAGTCGTCAATCAGCGATGGATCTAGGATGCGAGATGGTGGCACCCAAGAGCGTTCCTCAGGCCCGTAACCTTCCCAATCCACCAGGAACTGCAGACCCCTCCGATGACGCTGGACATCCAACAGGCGGCGGACAGCGAAGGCAGGGTGGTCATCAATGAGCTGGGCGACGGAGGGGGTGGGGAAGGGGGGCACAGAAGACTGTCAGAGACTGGCTTGAGTTGAGTTTAACAGCAGAGGGATTGCAGGGGAAGGGCTGCTTGCCCTTGCATGCCCTGGTTAGTCCTCTCCGTTTGGCCATTGGTCTGTGGGTGACAGCCAGAAGACAAGCTGGCCGTGGTTCCCAAAGCCTTGTAGAAGGCCTTCCAAACCCTGGACACAAACTGGGGGCCCCAATCTGAAACAATGTCTGAAGGAAACACAGGGAACACAGATTGAAACTGATTAGTTTACTTTAATCTTGTTTAATCCACGGAAATCAATGCAAGGGCGTAGGGTTGCGTCTCTTTTCTCAACAAAGTAATCTTGCACCAAGAGGGGAAGTAGAAGGCCGGATTATCTTTGCTGTTAGAGACTCTGCAATGTCATTCTTCATAGTTTCTCTCTCAGGGCATGAGAGATTATACAGTCTTTCAGCGGGAAGTGTCACACATACGCCCACATCATAGTTTATTTTTCATCTTCACTGCATGTTGACTAACTCTCCTGTCATTTCAGATCCTTCCACCTCGTCACCTGATTTCCTGCACCTGGTTCTCCTCACCCTCACCTGTGGTGCCTCCCCTCGTCAGTCACTCACTATTTAAGCCTGTCACATTCTGTTGCTCACTGCCAGATTGTCTTGTGTGTTTAACCAAGTTTTCCAGCGTGTCCCTAGTTATCCTGTCTACCTCGATCCTGACCTTGTCTGTTCCTCGACCCCGATTTACCTACCTGCCCTGTTTCGGATTTATCTGCCTGTCTGTTCGCCATCCTGGTTCTGACCCTGCCTGTCCTCGTCTGCGGATTACCAGCCTGCCCCTCTGGAATTGTTTGCCTCCCGACGGATCTCCCGGTTTTGGACCCAGCCTGAACTTTCATTAGAACCCCTCTGTCTTGTCCATCGTGTCCGAGTCGTGCGTTTGGGTTCTCCTGTACTCCGGTACCAGTAACCGTGACAGGAAGAGGTGCTCCAGGCAAGAGGTCAATAGCACAATCATACGGACGGTGAGGAGGGAGTTAGAGAGCTCGGCCCTTGTTAAAAACCTCTTGGAGATCATGGTATACAGGGGGAACTAAGGTCCGATCAATGGGGGTTACTTTATTGCTGTACTGAGCGGCTTCGACCCTAGCAGGCTGAGCTGACTTGAGGCAGACTGAGTGACAGAGAGAGCACCAACCCAGGAT